ATAGATGCACAAACTTCAATATTTATATAGCAATTAAATTTTTGACTAAGAACTGGATTGTAAGGTACAATATCTCTGTTATCAACAATTTTACCACCAATATTAAAATGTACGACCATTACACTTTCTGGCATAGAGATGGTATCCATCTGAATCCATTGATGTCTCATTACGAAAGGCTTTAGAGTATTTTTTCTGACATATATCATCTTCTATGCATGATGCTTTAGGATCACAGGCACTACAAGGTCTATGAACTATACAGCATAATATTGTATCAAAAAGTAGAAAATCTGCTTCTTGATTTGGAAATTCAGCACATACAATTCGATCAACATCAGCAGGTTCTCTAATTTTATCATCACTTTGAAGAAAAATTAAAAAATGCATATGAGGGAGACCACGCTTCTGAAACTCAATAGTGTATACATATGCAGCTACTTTTTCAAAAATATGATTGCTTTTAATTTCATGCAAAAGAGCTTGACGTTTAAGTTCAAACACACATGCTACTAAGTCAGGTCTATCTGCTGAAGTTTGACTAGGCAACAATTCATCAATTATTTCTTTCCAATTTGGATTTGCTGTCATAGTTTCAAAGATATCAGGATGTTGGTAAAATCGTGTTATAGCCATCGAATCTTGAAAAATCTTAAACATATAGCGTGAGCTTCCAATATGACTTGAAGAAAGAATTATACGTTGTCCAAGATTGGCTAAATTTATTTCTTCATTTGCAGTAGTTTCAATTGTATCTGCAAGTTCTTGATAAACATCTGCTCTTAATATACCTTGGTTTTTACGCAAATATTTTAGACGATTTTGTTCTGTTGAAGCCTATGCATCAACTAAAAACTCTTGAAATAATTTTTCACCTCAAAGAATAGTAGAAAATTCTGCATGCCAGGAAAAAAGTCGAAATGAGTAAAAGTCCATTTGTGTAAGACGTGGAGCTTTACTTTGATCTTCAGCATATTGTTCAAGATCATTGAATACAATTTGTTGTAATTCAGAATGCCAACCAAGCTTACCATATGGGAAAAGGAGCACATAATGAAGTAGCAGATATGCAGAATTGCCTTCATGAATACGCTCAAGTGGACCTCCATGTAGTCAAAGAATAATATTATGTATTCTCTCTAATATAGATCTATCACCAGGTAAAATAACAGCTATTTCATTTGTAGTAGGTAGATTGTAATGATGCTGGTCCATTGTTGAATTAAAGTGAAGATAGACAGATAAATCAGTTTCAGAAACATCATCTTGATGTGCTAGAGAAAGAATTTCATAGGCTTGTGGATACTTTGAATAAAATGCATAATTTTCTTGGAGAATTTGTTGTATTTCCCACATTGTTTGAGTATATAAATTACTGTTTCTTCTCATTCTTATTTGCTAAGCATTATTTGGATCATAAATGTAAAGTTGTACATAAGTTGTATCAATATCAGACTCTGAAAGAAGTGATCCTAAATGGTGACAGAGTTCACCATTAATACGAAAACAATATGGAGCATGGCCACTTAAAACAGTTTGATCAATATTTGTACCTAATGAAGTAAAAGTATGAGCAGCATTATACTGGCGTATATTTGTACAAAATTCTTTGCTTTGTTCATCTTGTCCTTCAAAAAATTGGCACAAAAGAAAAGGTGGCTCTTGAAATATAGAAAGAATAACTTTTCCTTGATTATAGCATTTTCCATATTTTGGGTCTAGTTTTTGAAGAGACAGTAAGATGTTCTGCTAGCCAATACAATGCTCCACAATGAATACACTCTGAATCCATATGTCCAAGATAGTGTTGTAAATTATTTTCATGCTCATTATTTGTTTGAATACATGCTCTTTTTACTTGTTCTTGCTTTCTTCTTGCTTGTTGAGCAATAGATCTTTTGTTTGGTATATTTGAGATATTTTTTGTTCTTTCATATTCACTTTTTTCACGATTTCTTCTTGCTTGTTGAGCAATAGATCTTGAATTTGGCACTGTTTCTTGAGTTTCTTGCTTATGTATATGTTGTTGTTGTTGAGCTATAGATCTTTGGTTATTTTCATTTAATTGTTCTTCTCTTTCTCGTGCTCATCTTAGCTGCTGGGCTATAGCTCTTCGACTTGGTTCATTTTGTTGTTCATCTCTTTCACATGCTCGTTGTTGTTGTTGAGCTATAGCTTTTTGACTTGGTTCATTTTGTTGTTTATCTCTTTCACATGCTTGGCGTTGTTGCTGTGCTATAGATCTTTAACTTGGTTCATTTTGTTGTTTATCTCTTTCACATGCTCGTCATTGTTGCTGAGCAATAGCTCTTTGACTCATATTTAGTAAAGACAACTAAACAATATTAAAAAAGGTTATTATATTTATAATTTTACAACTATTACAATCAGAACTTGAATTGGGCTCCAGAAAATAAAAAATATACTTATAAAAAGATTAAACAATTTTTTAAAAGCTATTAAAATTAACTACAATATATAATATACATGTATAGTATTTACATTTATGGTTAATACTCATCCTAATAAACAGGTAAGTGTAACATAAAAATAGTTTTTTTTTAGTGCCACCTATTTTAGTAAATCATAAGCAAGGTGCATTTATTTGGTATTTTTTATTTTGTATATACCCCAGCATTTCGGCACTTGAAAGTTTACAATTTTTATACACGTGAGTTATACACTCCATGTGGATATCCAGACAACGTGTGTACTCACATGCAAAAAAACTTAAAATCTTAAACGCCGGTCAAAAGTATAATAAAAATCAAAAAAAATAAAATCAAAAAATAAAATAATAATACGCAATACTAAAAAGATTTTTATTAACAGGTAGAATGCAATAGTCAAGCACGAAGTCTAATAACTACAGTACAATATTAGAACTCGATCTCCTTGGCCAACCTTAAATTGGCAATTAAATCGCATATAGCAATTAACCTGGGGCAGCAGATCATAGATAGACATCAATTTAATTTTAGATTATTTATACAGTTTAAAGTACTTTTCAAAAAAAAAGAAACTACGAAGAATAAACAAAAAAAAAGAATATAGAAAGTTTTATTAGCGTTGTAGAACTCCACTATTAAAAATAATCAAAATTCTTTTTTGTTTTATGAAGTCACTTTTATGTTAACTTTAAAACAAAAAAGAATTTTGATTATTTTTAATAGTGGAGTTCTACAACGCTAATAAAACTTTCTATATACTTCTTTTTTGTTTATTCTTTATAGTTTTTTTTTTTTTGAAAAGTAATTTAAACTGTATAAATAATCTAAAATTAAATTGATTTAAACAGTCTATGAGGCAGCAGAACAAAGAACTTGCAGATTGAAAATGTGGACAGGCTGTGCTCCGGATGATCATATGATTATCTGGAAATCAATCCAAACAATCTCGATTACAGCTGATTTCATTATTCCTGGGACACCTATAAGCTGGTAATTTTTCAATATAATACTATAATATATACGTAATTTAAATAAATTATTCACCTCTCTTGTTCAATTCAAAAAATATAATATTTTTAAACCACATTCGCTAGTAAATTATTGAAGAAGATTTAGAAAGTCTTTCAACTCAAAAACACTTAAGTGTTAGCAGGTCTTCTATAAGTCAAATTCTTGTACATTTTCAAAGATATAGTTGTATTGAAAAACTTCCATCGCTTTTAGGAAAACTACGTTCTTTAAACATGAATGATATAAATTATCTTCAAGTTTTAATGAAAGAAAAACCTGACTGGTACTTGTATGAATTACAATTCGAGATGGATAATTGGGACGTCACATTAGTCTTACAACTTGGATATATACACAAAAAGGTAATATTTTATATATTTATATATAATTTTATTTTACAAACTTTTAGCAATTTTATAAAAAGCTCTTTCATATTAATAGCTCCTGATTCAGGCTTAATTATTAGATCTACTGTTTCGCTTTAATTGTAATTTTTACCGCATTTTCGACAAATATTAATAAGTCTTTTGGAATTTCGACTTTAGCTAAATTTTTAGTCTAATCGACAAATTCTTGACTATAATAATTTGCGGAATTGACCCACTTTGCAAACTTGATGATCAGTATATGAATTTTTATAAAGTACGCAAATATAGAATGTTTAGATATTTAAGTTTTATTATTTAACAATAAAAAATTTACAATTATTTAGTTGGTCTTAAGTTGTGTGAATAAAGCTTTGATGTGTGGAAATCGTATTTTACTTTTTTAATATTAGTACAGAAATATACTGTAACTTAATTAATAATCATATATAGATAATATGATATAAGAGGTACATAAAGTAGATTTTTTATAATGTCTCAAAATTCCATTGGCAAAGGTTAATTTTTTGGTTTGCATAACATGGAATCAGAAATTTTGATATTTTTTGTTTTTTTATCAGACCTAAAGTCATCATTGGGAGACAATAGCGAATAGCTCAAATAGAATAATTTACACAAAAAAAATTAGTTTTGCGTGGCCTTATGTGGTACAATCATTAGTAACACCTGACAATTGATGAAACCTTTCGCTTTATTCCACTATCCTTAACTCTAAATCCTTAATAAACATCCATTTTGCATAATCTATGCTACCTTTAGCCAAGTCTTTCTACTAGTTACGGTTACAACATCGTCCCTGGTCTACACTTGCAGAACCTTAGTCAAGTAGATCAAGAACAATGATTTCACTATGAGGTCACTTAAAACAAAAAAATTTAATTTCTTTAAGCTTTGTATTAGATGATAAATTATTTGCATATTTCAGTTAACACTTACCTACCTATAATTCGGAATTAAGAAATAGAAGAGAACAATATTTCGGGCATAACTCAAACTGTCAAAATTTTAGGTCAATATTACGAATCATATTAGATAACTCAAAGATCAGTATAATGTAACAAAAATAAAATATTCTAAATATTTTTCTTTATGATTTTAGTCACAACTGTTCAATCAAAAGAGCTGTAAAAACATGAGTTCGTAAATAAATAATATAGAAGAGTTAGTTATCTTTATTCAAAAAAAAGGTAAAATTAAGTAAAAAAAAGGAACATTCAAGTAAGAATATGTTAAAAAGTTAGCACAGTTAAAGTTTGCTTTAAAATTCTAAATATGCAATACGTGTTGCGAAACAACAACAAAAGTTTTATATTACATGTACTTTTAATTACATCATTATTTTATCTACTAACGGCCCATTGTTTGGAGGACAAACATGACACTGTTATTGTCACAGGCCAATCAGATTGTATTTTTGTCTTATAACGTTTGTTTTCTAGTGTTTGTCTCATAGTGTTTATCTCAGAATGTTTATCATTATAGTGTTTATCTACACTATTATATATTATATATAGATATATAGATGTTTCTGTTGTATTACAACTAAGCTAATGCATTATATATCCAGAGCCTATCATATAATATTCATCATATTATACAAATGCATTAGTATGCATATGTTGGTAACATTAAAGCACAAATATAGACATGTGTGTGGACAGACAAAAAATTTTCAAATTCTATTTCTGATAAGATTTACAATATATATATACAAGTATAGTCAAACCTCCCTAAATGCACCTCCTCTAAATACACGCTTTATGAAAAGCCCCCTAATTGCACGCTCTCACTTGGGCCCAACTAATATAATATTTATAGATTTTTACCTCCCTAAATGCAATACCTCTTTAAATGCACATTTTTCTAAATTTTTATATATGGTCCCATCACAATGCATTTAGAGAGGTCTGACTGTATATCAAAAAAGTAAATTTTGTCAAGATTTTTACAATTGAAGCACATTAAGAAGGTAATTTTTGTATCACTTTGCATAAAAACTAAGGGTCCATCACTACACTCTGGCTAATTATATTTTGATAGTTTAAAATATAATTTTGTGAACCAAATAATTATACTTGCAGAAATTTTGTTATTTTATTTAGCACAATAGTTTAAAAGTAAGTTATTAATTCTTGAAGTTAAAATCAGCAAAATTATTTCACAAAACATATATAAATACATATTTATTTATTTTTTAAAAAATTCAGCAGTTATGCTACAATTTTATTAGGCTTTGTACTAATTAGTTTAAACTAGTAAAATTTTACAAAAGGAATTACTAGGTAAGTGATAAACTCTAAACAAGTCGGCAAGATAGTATATAAGAACTATCTCTAAATGACAAGTGCTCCTATCAGATGATCTCAAGTATACTTAAATTACAAATTGTGACTAACTCAGTTATTCCAATTAGTACCTATATTCGACCTGCTATAGCAAGATTTTTCTCCTTCCAGACCCTCCTGCAATTGGATATAACCCGGCTCTCAACAGTGAACCTTGCCACCTATCATAACTATCTCCTTTTCTTTTAGACTTCTTCCACCTAAGCCTAACAAAATTATTGAACCCTTATTTATATATAAAAGTAAAAAAATAAAGCCATGTTTATGAAAAATATAAATATTTTAGAAAAAAATGTCTCACGGCAATAAAAAAAACTAAAATTTCTAAAATAACTAGCTAAAAACCCGTACAATAATGCACAGGTATAAATATATATAATCTAAAATAAATAAATAATAAAATTTAAAACTAAATTAGTAATAAAGTAATTATATTTTAATTTTTTAATTTAATTGTTAAAAATTTTTGTTATACTTTTTTATAATAATAAACTAATAAAATTATAATAAATAAATATTAATACAGTATAATAAATATTGATTTATATTAAAAAAAAATTTTATTCTATTAGGTAGCATCTATAATTTATATTAAACCAATACTGTATTTTATAAAAATAGAGTTTTTGATAATAATAATATGGCATTATCTTTTAAGATCTCTATAACAGGATGTTGCTTTATACAATATGAAATTTTATTATAGTATATAAAAATATAATAGCTAACTAAATTATTAAACTTTTTTTTAATAATAATTAGAGTTTATAAAACTAACTACTCTAATCCCAATATTAGTTAATTATCAAAATATACAGTAATTTTTGTTTAATTTATAGTTAGAACTTAAAGCAAAGTATTATAAATCTTTAGTAAACTTACAATAAAAATCGCTTTAATTAATCATAGTAGCTAGCTAATTACCTCTAGTCTCTAAGTTTAGAAATTAATTAGCATCAAATTAATCTAAATATTTAATATGAGCTGTTTATATCTCATTCAGCTTTGAGTCCAACATTAGTTAACCAAGAGCAGGTTCGTATGACCAGATTCATATAGTATGATTTAGATAGTAGTGCATCTACAAAAATTGGCACCTGTAATTTTTACTGAGAATAAACATTGTAG